CATCCCACAAATATCCACGGATAATTCGTGTAATTCTGATAAGAGCAATCAAGGTCCTAAATCTTCAGCGAGTCCTTTTCATAAAAAATTAAATAAATTTCTAATGACCCCAATCTTAAACTAGCAACATGGATTGCAACTCACCCGAAGTCATCGTTGTAAAGTCACTCGGTCCGCCAACTTCAAACATAAATTCGCTCTATGTCGTTTTCCTTATACGTCAGCAGTCAGGTAACTCAATGTTCNCGTCAGCAGTCAGGAAACTCAATGTTTTCGAATGCTTTCCACTACACTACACTGGTCCCCTTATTGTACTTGTTTCTGCTTCTGGCGATAATAACTTACGCAATTNTTGTTTCTGCTTCTGGCCATAATAACTTACGCAATTTTCATCCAGTCAAGTTCGGGAAAACTTTGTCCAAAATGTTTTCCGGCATTCTTAGAATCAACTTTATTGGTGCTAACCGTGTTTAAACCACGTTTGATTAGGTTAATAGCGCCAACACTTGCCTCACTTACCGAACACGACTACTTTGTGAATATTCCTAGCAATATACAGTATTGGAGTCATACGCCTAGACAAAAGTATCTCTGAAGAAAACTTTTGTGAAGGTCATGAATTNCAAAAGTATCTCTGAAGAAAACTTTTGTGAAGGTCATAAATGTTGAGAGGTATTTGCACAATATTCACAGATTAAGCTACACGACGTAACGCATATAGTATTACTTGTTTAACCAGCGTAGGCTACTCATATAGTTAGATTATAACGACATTTGGCATATTTTCACAAGGTAGTGCATCACATTCTGTTTATGACATTTTATGATTACAGTCCGTTCAAGCATTTTAACACACATATATATAATGATCAATAATAAATTTTTTTCAACATAGGATGATACAGAAACATATTGCGGAAAATCATACACATTATCATAAAGATCAAGAAGATGATACTTTTGATTGTACAGAAGAACCACCAGTTCTTACACATAGGCTTGAATAATAAACACTATTGTTTTTTATATTAAAAATAAGAAAAATTGTTTTAATTAAGTTAGTTATTATTTTATTCTATGTAGCTTTTAATTAAAAAATGCTTAGTATACAAATAAATTTATCTTAATTGATCCAATGATGAAACTGCAAATAATTTTTATGACAGGATTTGAAAAAACAATTTTTTTAGTTACAAACAGTTTTTAATTGATTTTTATGTTCATTTTGTTTCAATAAAAATAAATGTCTGTTTTTGAAATGTTTAAAAAAAATATATAATATTTTATTTTAATTAATTTAATTTATGTTGAATGGAAATATATAATAAAGAATTTAAATACTATTGATACTATGATTATATATATATCAACGGTCAATCCGTTTAAGATAACAAATTAACTTAATTTAACAAATTTACTATAATTAATGCACTAAAATGAATGAATTTTTTTAACGATAAATGGTTATACTAAATGTTATATAAATATATTTTATGAGGTTTTCAAGTAGAATATAAATTTTTTTTTAATTTCTGAATTTTTTTGTTTATTTTTCTTCTTTCATGTTATGTTTTGCATTAATTTTAATATTTTCAATTTTCAGTGGGTAATTAAAAAAATTTTAATTGTTTTTTATTTAAAAATTATATTTCATCAAAAACCCTTTGAATACTCAAAAATATATATTTTAAACTATAAGTCATTTCAAGAGCTGTTTTAAAAAATATTAATACAATAGTTGAAAAATAAAAAGTTTAAAACATTGTTACACGTAATACATAATCATTTCAAATTATTGATTATCATTATTTGTTCTGTACTTAGTTGTGAGGATGAATATAGCCAGACAAGTATTTGTCAACTTGGGAAAATCCGTTGAACTTCCTGCATCCCCCCCCAAAAAAAAATACTTCCGATCAATATTTTAAAAGTTATTAATAATTAAAAGTAATAACTGATGGTTAGACGTGGGTGCTGTTATTTTTTAACACATTTCTCTGCTCCTTCCGTACTCATCCTGCCACCTAAATATAAAAATGTTAATAACTTCTAAAATACTGGATCACAGTTGTTATTGACCAACCATTTTCTTAATTAGAACATTATCTAATAAATAAGTTAGTTAATCATGTACGTATGAAATTTAAAAGTTAACGTTTTAGTTAAGTACGTTTTGGGACTAGTGCACTAAAAACCCTAAGATTATGTAATTAAATATAAATTTAAAAAATTTTGTATATGCAATTATAAAAAAAACCCAGCACAGGGGGGTCGCGGCACCGTGGGGACGTGCCATAGTTGGATCAAGTATAATGATATCTGACAGTGATTAAAATCACTATAAAAAAAAAACGCTTCGATGCAAATCTTTAGATAGTGTTTAATTTTAAAAAATTGGTGTATTATTCCAAAAGCTACATGATCTGCTAGTTCCTTATTAATATCTTGATTAAGATAAAGTATGTCGAATGAAAAAGGATTATTAAAAAATATTATTTCTCATAAAAAAATTGTGTTGATCCATACACTTTTCAATAAGTAATAGCATTATAAAGTTAAATATAATATAAAAAATAAAATCGAGAATTTTCACACGAAAATAGTATT